ACTTATCCCAAAATTTATGTTATTGAACTCACGAGTGACATAGCTCCATATGGCTACATCTCGGTTATCAGCTCAAATGATCGTATTAGGAACTTCTCCTACTCGGTTTACAAACTCACTTGTCATATCTCTGTTCACAGGTGTATCTTGTAGAAATGGAGGATCTCGTGGATGAGGTGGATTTCGATTCATCTCGATGGTCTATTATTCAACTTCTTCGACTTCGACTTCTTTGACTTCTTCGACTTCTTCGACTTGTTTCTCTTTTTTATGTTCTTTCTTTTCTCAACCTCTACTCACACTTTCTCCTTTTAAGGGTCCTTTTTATTTATGGATCAAAGTTCAACAAACAAAACTCTGTGCTCATACACAACTCCCATATAATAATTAAATTTCAAGACTGTATGAAACAATCACAAAATGAAACAACTCACTTAAAAAAAAGGGTTTTAAAATTAAGTCCACGGCAACGGCATCAAAAACATGTTGGAACATTCTCTACCTCTAAAGGATAAGGAATACGTGCAAGCATACCCGATCACATGTAATTCTCAGAAGCAATCCAATGTCGAATCCTCAGGGACTTGTGCTTTCAAAATCAAGTAATGAAATGAAATGGTTCAAATATGCAATTGTCGTTTATGAAGAAAGTGGTGACCAAAGTTGTTGTTTGGGGTTTAAAATATCAACGAATTTGATAAAACTAGCGTGTTTACTTCTTACCTTAGTTTTGATAGAAAATATGGAAGATACACACTTTCGGGAAATTGCGCCAGCCACAATCTAGCTAAACTTGAGAATATGAGTTCTACTATTTTTGGTTGCTGTAGAGGTTAGGGCAACCTACAATAATATTTCTTTGTGTGATTACAATCAAATAAGGTATTTATCAACTCATTTTCATTTATGGGTCTATGTCTTGGACTGTGTTTTATGGGCTTATGTCTAAGTCACATGTCGAGCATTTTGAAAATCAAATAATTTTGGCTAAGGCATTCAAAAGAGAGGTTGAAAACTAAATTAGTTCATAATTAAATGCAAGGAAATGCATGAAAACATAGAAGAATTAATTTCAATTGAATTTAAATGAATGATAACAGCGTACAAGGAGTGATAGCTCAACCCTCTTCTCTTTCAAGCGCGAGGGGAGTGTAAACCCGACTAAGAACTCTAAAAGAACATAATAGATGAAGAATGAAAGTAAGAACTTTAATTAAAAGCAACACAATAAGTAAAAGTGTGAAAATACAAAGAAAGAACAACTAAAACATAACTCCTATGAACTCCAAAGCTTATGAACGAAAACTACAGGCCAATAATGAAACAAATGAAGATGAAAATGTGATGATTTACTAATGGGGGAGAGGCTCCCTTTTATAGGCCCTTAAAGAGGTTGAATTTCCCACCATTTTAGGAGGAAATGGGTTGAGATTCTCCAAACAACCTCTCATTGACTTGGACTCACGACTTTTGCTTCATTTAAACATATTGGAAATAACCCCCTTCCTCTTCATTAAGTGAAACACACGTTTTGGAGGTTTGACAATGCCAGAAAGCACCAAGAGGCTATAAATTCTATATATTTTATATTATGGAAAGAAGCAATTAAATGTAAACTATACTCCAAAGTTATTAATCAATCTTCGGACTTGGTAGATCTTCCTATAGGAAATAAACTTGTTAAAAGCAAATGGATCTTTAAGAAGAAAATTAGACGAGATGGATCAATTGAAAAATACAAGGCTAGATTAGTGGTTGTAAGTTACACACAAAAACTTGGAATTAACTATTTTGGTACATATTCTCCTGTAACTAAAATAGCCACTATTAAATCTCTAATCGCTCTTGCTGTCGTTCATGACCTATTAATACATCAAATGGATGTAAAAACAACATTTCTTAATGGAGGTTTAGAGGAAGAGATCTATATGACCCAGCCTGAAGAGTTTTTATATGAATCTCCAACATATTCAAATCAAATACAAGTCAACTCAAACTTCATTCAAGACAAAAGCATCAATTATGGATTTTAAGTTCATGCTATATTAAACGAGGCTTCATTTAATACTTTATGGTTACAAAAATCTTGGTTTGCTGATTTAAACTTTAATGTTTGGATTTATGGCGTATTTTTAAATATTTTAAGTCTTACGATTTTTCATTTACTCTTTAGGTTACAATTAGTTAATTGTTGTTTATGGCATTGATGGACTTAAGTGTTCCAACCCTTCAAATGCTCATATGTTACTTGTAAGGACTATTTTTAAGGCTATATATAGCCATGTATGTCAGCCTTGAGAATATAGAATATAAAATCGAGATGTAATGAAATGAGCCTTTGAACCTTTCGTTTAGCCAAGAGCTAATGTATTATGCAATCTAGTGATAGCTTGCATGTTTAGGATCATTCAAGTTAGACTTCCTCTATCTTGCTTGTGGAGTGATTCGGATCTCAAACAAGGAACAAGTTTGATTGGCTTGAGATATTTGATCATCAAGGTAATCTAATTTTTTACTTTCCTTGGGTTGATTCCTTTATCGGTTTCGCGGTTTTTGGGATTGCGTTCTATGGGTCTTGTTTGTTAGCAAGGTTCTTTGATCCAACTCTCAAAGGTTTCCCTGACGACCAACACCAGCGACAGTGGCGTGACGGCTCCTACGACTAGCGGCGTGCTATACGTTATTTTCTGGCGGTTTGGGGTGCAACTGCATTTTTCAGTGGTGTTTGGCGACGTCTAAGTCGATTAGTGGTGCCCACAACCTATAGCACATAGTCTTTGTGGTCCGTACTCCTATTATAGCTGCCAGCAGCATAAGAGGTGGTTATGGAGCGATTCCCTATTGTAAAAAAATGCAAACAAAATAGTTGCTTTATGTATGGCGATTACCCACTTCCATTAGATGCATGATTCATGCTACCCACATCTATCGGAGCTAGATCAAGTCACGAACACCTAAACGAAGTCGACTTCGTGGTAAACGAACTTTAGAACCCCCTATAATTGGTTTCCATGAAAAGAAATAGTCTTATTAAATCTTTATCTTTTATGTTGGCCTTTTTTTTAAAGGATTCATTAGGGTTTGTTATAAAAGCCCTTAAACCCATACTTTCTTAAACTGCTAGACCTAGTTTTCTCTCAAAAAGAAAAATAATAAAGAATAAAAACAAAAATTGTATTTTCTCTCAAAGATCGGTAAGTTTTCTTTTTTCCTCATTGTTTTAGTTTTATTTTTCTTGATCTGTAGTTCTTCAATATAGTTTATTGGGAAAAGTTTTGTATGGAACTTTGCGGAAGCCAAGGATCGTAATACACTTAATGAAGCAATTTAACTAAAATAAGCATGCTGGAAAATAAGATGAAAAAGTTAAAGAGGAAGTGATTAACTTTATACCTTTGAAAACCTCCATTATAACTTCTTCTCCTAACTCAATGGTACCACCAGCGGCAAATCGGTGCTATCCTCGGGTTGATGAACACGGTTGTGGGACCGAATTATGAGTGAAAGCAAAGGGAAAGCACTAATGGCTAGGAGAAAACAATAGAAATTTGAGAGGAAAAATTTTGCACTTATGCTAGGAAGTATTAGTCTTCTCCAAGTGATCTTCATCACCTATATAAAGACCAAATGCATGCAAGAACAAGCCTTACATGACTTCCATTTCAAACCACACTAGCATGTAAAAGATAGGTGTCATTTCCTTGAAGAAACACTTAAAAAACTAATAGTTAGTGGAAAAATCCAACTGAAGTTGGATTTTTCCACTAACTTTATTTTTTAAATGAATCTTTTATAAAACTAATTTTTATAAAAACAAAAATTGAAATATCAATTTTCTATTAAAACAAAAACCAAGCCAAATTAATATGACATATTAATTGGTCTTTGACACCTTAAGTTTTTTAACAAAGATTCGTAAATTTGGAGTTCATTAAGAAGGGTTGTCAGGTTTTATTAAATTTCATCATAGCATTCGTTTTGAATTGAAAATAACTCGTCGGAAGAGATTGCAAGATGAATCCAACCTGACTTATTTCGTTCATGACTGCGCCGTTCACTTTTGCAACATTGAAGTGAACCATCATGTTCAAAACATGCTCCCTTATGGAAGATCACTCCTTCATTCTACATTTGTAAACATACTTAATCGCATCATGCATGATAGATGTTGATGGTTGTCCAAACAGGGCTTGTAAATAGTCCATGATCTCTCTTGCATTAGCTAATGTCTCGTGCTTTTTAGGCAATACATCCAATATACTGGCTAAAATGTAGACACAAGCTTTTTCATTAGCTTTAACCCATTTATCATATGCATCCCGAACTGTTCGGTTTGCATTAAGTGCAGGGGCTGGAGGACACTCCTCCGTTAAAACGAACCTCATATCGTCAATTACTAGCACTGTGTTTAAATTCGATTTCCATATTGTGTAATTGTCTCTGTTAAGCTTATCGGAAGCTGGCAGTTGTATAATTGAAGTAGGCATTACTGAAAAGTGAAAAAAACTATTAGTGAATTGTATAACTCTTAATTATTTCATCCAATATTATTTAGCAAGAAATAATGTACCCATTCATTATTACTTTTGCAATGATACTTCAATGAGAAAAAATAGCCTCCACCAAAGGGCAGTTGACTATTCCTTCACTGATTCAAGACATTCTTGACTGAATACTAACTCTCGAATAACTCTTATCCCTATAGTACTGAGTTATCCTTAATTTGGTCAAGAACTTACTAACACTTAGCAAGTCTTATAAGTGTAGACTCGCCATTTTTGAACTACAGAGATCGGAATCAAACAAGCCTTCGAAGGAGAGACAATTGCTGAAAACGGACCTAAGTAACCGTATCCATTGGGTGGGGTGTCATTTTCCCTTTGGCCATCCTTTTTTGGCCACGAGCTCGGGATAGTGAAGAGGCCGAGCTGTTGGACGTAGACCAGCTTCTCGCGTGCTTCGAAGCGAAAAGGATAGCTAAGAAGTCTGGTCGGTTCTATATGTGCGCAAGGAAAGGCACATGCGGTATAGTTAAGGGGCCGACCTCCATTAAGGGATGGGTGAGGAAGTGGTTCTACGCTTCTGGGGAACGGCTTGCAAAGGACGAGTCAAGACGTTCCTTCTTTGACGTTCCCACTAGGTTTGGGAACCTAGGTATGGAGTAGTTCTTACTTTCGTGATTTTCTTTCCTGTCATTGAGGTCCAACTCGGATTTTGTCTTTGTGCAGTTTCAATCCGACCAGTCCCCGAGCTTACGCAAGCCTCCTTCGACACGTTGAAATATTACAACGAGCATTTTCCGAGGGGTAGGAAGGTCGGAACCTTGGTGACCGACAAGCTGCTGCTTGAGTCCGGGCTGCTAGATTACAACCCTGCAGTTCGTCCCATTGAATCCTCAAGGCGGAACTCCGAATTAGGTATGCCGAGCTTGCTACCCCCTCATTTTCCTCTAACTTTGTGCTGATTTCTTTTCTTTGTTTTACAGCCATGGTTTGCGGGTTTGCGAGTAACGTGAAACGCAAGTCCAAGGGCCGAGCCCATGCTCTTGAGGCCACCAAGAGCTTGAAACCTGCCACTTCTGCTGTGGTAGGGCCAGCCTCGGAAGATCCA